AACACACACTGATCTATGAACACACACTGATCAATGAACACACACTGCTCTATGAACACACACTGATCAATGAACACACACTGCTCAATGAACACACACTGATCTATGAACACACACTGATCAATGAACACACACTGCTCTCTGAACACACACTGCTCTCTGAACACACACTGCTCTGTGAACACACACTGCTCTGTGAACACACTGCTCTGTGAACACACACTGCTCTGTGAACACACACTGATCTATGAACACACACTGATCTATGAACACACACTGCTCTATGAACACACACTGCTCTATGAACACACACTGCTCTATGAACACACACTGCTCTATGAACACACACTGCTCTATGAACACACACTGCTCAATGAACACACACTGATCTATGAACACACACACTGCTCTATGAACACACACACTGCTCTATGAACACACACTGCTCTATGAACACACACTGCTCTATGAACACACACTGCTCAATGAACACACACTGATCTATGAACACACACACTGCTCTATGAACACACACTGATCAATGAACACACACTGCTCTATGAACACACACACTGCTCTATGAACACACACTGATCTATGAACACACACTGCTCTATGAACACACACTGCTCTATGAACACACACTGCTCTATGAACACACACTGCTCTATGAACACACACTGCTCTATGAACACACACTGCTCTATGAACACACACTGCTCAATGAACACACACTGATCTATGAACACACACTGATCAATGAACACACACTGCTCAATGAACACACACTGATCTATGAACACACACTGATCAATGAACACACACTGCTCTATGAACACACACACTGCTCTATGAACACACACTGATCTATGAACACACACTGATCAATGAACACACACTGCTCTATGAACACACACACTGCTCTATGAACACACACTGATCTATGAACACACACTGATCTATGAACACACACTGATCTATGAACACACACTGCTCAATGAACACACACTGCTCTATGAACACACACACTGCTCTATGAACACACACTGATCTATGAACACACACTGATCTATGAACACACACTGCTCAATGAACACACACTGCTCAATGAACACACACTGATCTATGAACACACACTGATCTATGAACACACACTGATCTATGAACACACACTGATCTATGAACACACACTGATCTATGAACACACACTGCTCTATGAACACACACTGATCTATGAACACACACTGCTCTATGAACACACACTGATCTATGAACACACACTGATCAATGAACACACACTGATCTATGAACACACACTGCTCTATGAACACACACTGATCTATGAACACACACTGCTCTATGAACACACACTGATCTATGAACACACACTGATCAATGAACACACACTGCTCTATGAACACACACTGATCAATGAACACACACTGATCTATGAACACACACTGATCTATGAACACACACTGCTCTATGAACACACACTGATCTATGAACACACACTGCTCTATGAACACACACACTGCTCTATGAACACACACACTGCTCTATGAACACACACACTGATCTATGAACACACACTGATCTATGAACACACACTGATCAATGAACACACACTGATCTATGAACACACACTGATCTATGAACACACACTGATCTATGAACACACACTGCTCTATGAACACACACACTGCTCTGTGAACACACACTGATCTATGAACACACACTGCTCTGTGAACACACACTGATCTATGAACACACACTGATCAATGAACACACACTGATCTATGAACACACACTGCTCTATGAACACACACTGATCAATGAACACACACTGATCTATGAACACACACTGATCTATGAACACACACTGCTCTATGAACACACACTGATCTATGAACACACACTGCTCTATGAACACACACACTGCTCTATGAACACACACACTGCTCTATGAACACACACACTGATCTATGAACACACACTGATCTATGAACACACACTGATCAATGAACACACACTGATCTATGAACACACACTGATCTATGAACACACACTGATCTATGAACACACACTGCTCTATGAACACACACACTGCTCTGTGAACACACACTGATCTATGAACACACACTGCTCTGTGAACACACACTGATCTATGAACACACACTGCTCTGTGAACACACACTGCAGTGCAGGGGTCTTTAGGCTCCATGTATTGGAACAGTGTGTACACTTGCTCAAGTCGGATGACTATAAGCTGCTTTACTTCTCACCTGTCTGCTGCTTTCACACACCCCCCCCACACACCCCCACACCTTTCCCTTCGACCTTTACTACACTATCAAATCTTTATCTACCATTCATGCAAATGTAGCATTGTTATTAGAGACACTTTTGGCATGCATTTCCTCTTGTTTTTTTTTATAATCCTAAAAAAGTCACTAGGGTTGTGCATATGTTTTTGATGAATATATAATTTACATTTAAAAAATTGAAAATGAGATAGGAGGCTAAACAAGTGAAATAATTCAGTTCATGTACGTCAGTTGTTGCTGGGTACACTTCATATATCCTCCATTTGAGCAGGATATTAGCTTGTATTCATGGTTTGGGGTATTTGTGCTTGCGTAGGCAGAGCTGCACAGCGTGGGGGTGTCAATGTGTAGTAAGGATGGAACAACAGCAGCATCCTTAACCCAGCTCAGTTAAGTGGGTTAGGGCTTTGCCTCATGACCTACTTCCCTTCGCAGGCAAACACACTGAGACTTAACAAGGAAACCTACTCTGCAGAGACAATCCCTTTAGGAGAACGACTTCAATCATTCCAGCTATTCAGAATCCCGATCCAGGGCCAGATAGTGGAGGAGGATTGGCTAGATACACTACATGTTGTTGACAATTTAAGATGATCATGTGATCTTGTTTGCATGCCATGCCCCTTTTCTCTAACAAGTGCTCTGACGAAGTAACAAATACACAAAAAACTGAAGGACAAAAACAAAAACATTTCCATAAAAAATAAATGTCCAAGAATCAACAACGGTCCATTTACCATCTCCTCACTATGATGCTGTTCAGTGAGCAACAGGACCGTGTGAGGCTCGGGCCTTCAGAATAAAAGCATCTCTAAAGCTATATGTATGCATTAACAATAGATTACAGCCCAACAGATCACATGACTGTGTAATGTATGTCACTAAGGTTGAGCCTCTCATTGTTGTGGCTCAGCCCCCCTGCCAGCACAGGTGAAAAACCCCTCTCAAATGGTGACATGCCTACATTATTGTTTCAGCTGCAGTACCAATTCTGATGAGAAGTTGTACAAAAGTGTTGATACGAATGTATATTGTAGATGGAACTGCAAGAAGCCAGTGATAATGCTTATAATATATCTATATTGTATTTATTGTTTAAACAAGTTTAACATCGAGTGTGTAATGTGAAACGTGCCTCACCTGTTAGCTCATTTGGAATAATGCCTGAGTGTAACCACCATTGGCTGAATAGTGAGATGTGTGTATCTGCTGAATGGTGTCAGCTAATGTGTTTAGCTTTTAGTATGTTTTGTTTAATGTAAGATGAGAATGTAAACAAATGTTAATCATTGGACCATACAGAGTGTCTGCAGCCTCGTGCGATGTGCTTTGTATGTCAGAGGATGAACGACTGCAGTCAAATCATTCTAATTTAAAGGTATGCATGCCTGGAGGTCTGGTTTATGTCCAAATGTGCACAGGACTCTCAGATTCCATGCTTCATGGTGTTGATTCATCATCATGTGAGGTCGGCCCAGACCCTAGGGGTTTTTAAATCAACACTTAAAACTCACTTCTTCTCTCTGGCCATCACTTAAAAACCTAAAAATGTGGATCTTATATTGAAAAATAAGGTTATTACTACTACTCATTCTTCTAAATCTTTTCTCTCTCTACTTCTCATATTCTAATAATAATCGATAATCGATAATCGATAATCTGACCTTTTGAGGTTTTATTAGAGGGAAACAGGTTTGCAGAGTGGCTTAGGCAGGCCGGGGAGTGTTATGACCGTATTCACAGCTTCCTCCCTACCTCTGCTAAATTCTAACTAAGGCTCCAGTGGGGACCTTGTTCCCTGCGTGTGCCTCTCCACCTCTGTTTCTTACTCTCTTACTTGCTACCCTTTTCCCTTAACCTATCCTAAGGGAGTGCTTGTTCTTCCTTCTGTCTGTCTGTGTCTGTGTTCTCTCATGTTCCGATTAACCCAGCCAAATTTTTCTTTTTGTGTCTATATCTACGCCGGGATCCGGAGTCGAGGCTGATCCTCTTGCTGTGGTCCTGTGTCCTGGATCCTCTATCCTGAGTTCTGGATTAAGTCGTGGACTTCGGGTCGTGGCTGAACCTGTCTCTGCGGTCCTGCCTGGGTCTCGTCATGCTGCTTCCCTGATGTCTCCCACAGGATTGTATTGTAAAATGTATTATCTTTTACACACGGCATCTATTGCACGTCTGTCCGTCCTGGGAGAGGGATCCCTCCTCTGTTGCTCTCCCCGAGGTTTCTCCCATTTTTCCCTTTGAAATGTGGGTTTTTCTCTGGAAGTTTTTCCTTGTACGATGTGAGGGTCTAAGGACAGAGGGTGTTGTTTTTCTCATACTGATATTCTGTACAAACTGTGCTGTTGTATTTGCTGTAAAGTGTCTTTACTGTAGGGTATTTTTACTATATGTACAGCACTTTGGCTCGACCAAAAATCGTTTAAAAATGTGCTATATAAATAAAACTTGATTTGATTTGATTTGATCTTTAGGGCCAAGTGTTTGATTTTTGTAAGACTCATGTTTTCTCTGCATCAGTGGGGGTTTAATGTTTTATTTCTGTGTGGAGTGCATGTTCTCCCTGCAGCAGTGTAGTTTTCAGTGTGTATTTTATGTTCTGCAGGAAACCCATTTTCCTTTGATCAGTCATTCCTTGTATCCATGGCTTCAGTAACAAATACAAACCCTACTTACCCAGGCCATTCTCACAGTCAGTGAACTCCATGGAATGAACAGCTCTGTCTACTCCGAATGGACCCATTAATGTCCTGTCGGGGGAGAGAGGAGAAAATAAGTACAACATAAACTAAACTTGAAAAGCTTTCACTTGTTTTTCCTTCACAGAGTAGAGGCTTCAGCTGCACAGTCAGGGCGTGACATCATGAGAGCAGTTTGACTCAGTGATAGAAGATCTGACACATATGGTTGGCATACGTTGTAAGATTTAAACCAAATCTGTCTTCTAAATCTAGACTGCATACTTATTCTACCCGGGTTGAGTCTGTAGTGTCTTCGTTCAGCAGGAGTGTCAAAATTGTTGTGCCCCCTCTCCCTCTCTGCCCAGTGTGTCTGCTGCTTTCCGCTGGCAGCAGTCAGGCTGGGCAGACTTTAAAGGTCCCATGTCATGGCCATTTCTACTGATCATAATTCCATTGTTGAGGTATACTAGAATAGATTTACATTGTGTAATGTAACATTGGTTTCTCATACAGCATCTCTGTATAGTATGTGTATTCACTCTCTGTCCTACATGGCTTGTTGGAGCTCCTGCCCCCCCCCCCCCTGTGAGCCCACTGTGCTCTGATTGGTCAGCTCGCTCACTCTGTTCTGATGAGTCCACCACCGTTACAGCGGAACATCAGTGATTATGTGTTACAATGGCGTTTGTTAGCAACCAGAAAATGACACCAGCAATGACAAACAGATGAGAATGCTGCGTGGGGTCTGGGTGCCGTGTTGGCGGGACGTTGCGCGGCTCGCTGCTGCGAGGAGCGGACAGTGTGAGCTGGGTTCATTTCTTGCTTGCTGCGTGGGGTCTGCGAGACAGCGAGACATCGCGAATGGACGCGGGAAGGGGGGGGTGCTGAGGGGGCTGCAGCACCCCCAAATGCGGCGCACCTACAGTGTAAGCGCGCCACAGTTTCGCCGCTGAGAGAGTGTGTGTGTGTGAGGAGCTCCACGGATTGGTCACGTCACTGTACCCTGGAAGAAAAAGAGAAATCTCCAACGAGGCGTTCTGGGGCAGCATAGACAGGTATTTTCTGTGTTAGAGTTTTACTCGCTACACTACAGGGTGTACTTTGAGGGTTTGTGACTCTGCAGACAAGGGGACGGGTAATAACCGGAAAAGCATGACATGGGACCTTTAAGGTAGTAAGATAAGATAAGATAAGATTGTGCTGGAAATTCTAATTCCCTTACTGATAAATGATTCATGGACACAGTTTGTCTTTTGTTATATTTAATAAAGTAATGAAGAAAGTCAGATACAATTGAAATCGATCTCAAATGCAGGAAAATAGCAGCTTCATGCTCAGAGGATAGAGAGCCCCCTGAACACAGTAACAGTCCCACTATATAGAAGAAAGAAAACAGCCAACTGGTCCTACCCATACACTCTTTGAGGCATTTCTTGACAATGATAACACAAGATAAGATATACCTTATTGAACCCAAATGGAAATGTTTTTGTTACAGCAGCATGTTAAAACTAGAGAATGCAATTCCTGAAGAAATTGCTTGTGGGAATGCTTTATGCTGAAGCTGAATTGCTATGCTGAAATGTAATGTGTAAGAAGAAAGTGAAGAATTTAGATTGAAATGATACATGAACACTGGGGGCTTGAATGTGTGATGAAAGAAGAAAAGAAAGTAAAAAGGCTTGGAAAAGCAGCAGAATATTTGAACTGCAAACTTTTGAACTAACTTGATGGCGAATGATCTGTCGCCATGCCAACGGCATTTGATGACATCCCATAATACGCTTAGATGCGTTGATGGCTGCATCGTTACCAAACCTGTGAAGTTTTGGGCTGTTTGGAGCATTTTCACTGAAGTTATGAGAAAACCGTTTTATGGCGAGGGATGCGTTTCCATGGAAACAGCCTATGTCGAGATCTCAGATTTGGCGTAGAGCTGTTGAGGCATGGACCGGTGATATACAAGCGAAGTTTGGGGGCAATCGGACCGTGTCCATTGGAGTTAAAGCGACATCGTGTTTCATGGCGAGGGATGCGTTTCCATGGAAACGGCATATGATGACACCCCATAATTGACATAGAGCTGTTGAGGGTCGGACCATTAACCATTATCTGAAGTCTGGTGCTGTTTTAGACCATTTGCATAGGTATCACGACAACATCGTGTTTTAAGGCGAGGGATGCGTTTCCGGGAAACGGCACATGGTGAGATCTCAGATTTGGCGTAGAGCTGTTGAGGCATGGACCGGTGATATACAAGTGAAGATTCGGGGACGATTGGACCGTGTCCATTGGAGTTACAGCGACATCGTGTTTCATGGCGAGTGGTCTGTCGCCATGGCAACGGCATTTGATGACACCCCATAATACGCTTAGATGCGTTGATGGCTGCATCGTTACCAAACCTGTGAAGTTTTGGGCCGTTTGGAGCATTTTCACTGAAGTTATGAGAAAACCGTGTTTCATGGCGAGCATTGTGTTGCCATGGCAACGGCATTTGAAGAAACCCCATAATTGACGTAGAGCTGTTGAGGGCTGGACCGGTGATATACAAGCGAAGTTTGGGGGACGATCGGACCGTGTCCATTGGACTTACAGCGACATCGTGCTTCATGGCGAGTGGTCTGTCGCCATGGCAACGGCATTTGATGACACCCCATAATACGGTTAGATGCGTTGATGGCTGCATCGTTACCAAACCTGTGAAGTTTTGGGCCGTTTGGAGCATTTTCACTGAAGTTATGAGAAAACCGTGTTTCATGGCGAGCATTGTGTTGCCATGGCAACAGCATTTGAAGAAACCCCATAATTAACGTAGAGCTGTTGAGGGCTGGACCGGTGATATACAAGCGAAGTTTGGGGGACGATCGGACCGTGTCCATTGGACTTACAGCGACATCGTGCTTCATACTGAGTGGTCTGTCGCCATGGCAACGGCATTTGATGACACCCCATAATACGCTTAGATGCGTTGATGGCTGCATCGTTACCAAACCTGTCAATGTGACATCAACGTGTTCCATGACACAGCTGTTTATATTTGAGCTAACGACGACAGCTGTGTGTCACCAATAATGTATAAAATATGTGGAACATGTTGAAGTCAGTATGAAGTCTCCATCAGACAGAAAACAATAGGCTCAGACAGTCTGTTAAACTCCAGTGACCACGTCGTTAGCTCAAACACGAACACCTGTGTGTTATGACATCATCGTGTTCCATGACACAGGTGTTTATATTTGAGCTAACGAGCTGTGCAGAGATCAAAGGTTTCCATTGTTCTGAATGAGAGATAAACCTCTTACATGTGAACCTTTTGTGGAAGAACAGTAACAGATATCTGTGAAATTTCAAAACGTGAAGCATGTCAAAGAAGTTGAGTATCTGAAGTGTAATTTTTGTGTACTTTCGGGTTAATAATGTTGCCTTTTTGGCAGTTTAACTAAAGGTGTGCGGCTGCTGCTGTGAGGAAATATCTGCCTGAAATTACAATGGGTTTTAATGGAGGCATGTTGAAAGTTTTTGTCACTTCATGCCCTCAAGAGGCATTTTGTTTAATTATTTTTTGCCTAATTATTTGTCATTTTTCAAGCTACGAGATGTTTTCCTACGTTTGTCATGAAAAATTATGTCTCAGGAATGTAGGGTTTGGGAATTATGGCAGTTTTAAAAAAATATATGAAGGCAAATTTCAAACTGTCCTCCACTCTAGCTGTGACATCACGCACTCTGCCTTAACGAGCTGCGCAATGTTAAAGTTAAAATGTTAAAAATGTGATGTATTATGGGATGTATCTCTGGAATTATGAAAGTTATGAATGAGAAAAGTAATAGCCATCGATTCCCGACCGAGCTGAACGTTTTGATGTTTGAACGGAGTTTCTGCGATGTGGAATGTGGGAGGAGAAGAGGGCCAAAATAACAGGCGGAATAATAAAGAATTTTGTGCATAGAAGAACAGATAGTGGGAATGCTGTTAATAGCATCATGTAACAGCGTTACACATAATTTAAAAAATAAAAAGAGGAGAAAATAAACAAACATTAAATAGAAACATCTCAAAATAGAAGATACAAATCTGTCAAATAAACACTATTATTTGTTAGTTTTTTTACATCTGTGATGGCAGGAACTACAGACAAGTCTCATTGTCTGTCTGTCTGTCTGTCTCTCTGTGTGTCTGTCTGTGTGTTTGTCTGTCTCTCTGTGTGTCTGTCTCTCTGTCTGTCTGTCTGTCTCTCTGTGTGTCTGTCTGTGTGTTTGTCTGTCTCTCTGTGTGTCTGTCTCTCTGTCTGTCTGTCTGTCTGTCTGTCTGTCTGTGTGTCTGTCTCTCTGTGTGTCTGTCTCTCTGTGTGTCTGTCTGTCTGTCTGTCTGTCTGTCTCTCTGTGTGTCTGTCTCTCTGTGTGTCTGTCTGTCTGTCTGTCTCTCTGTGTGTCTGTCTGTCTGTGTGTCTGTCTCTCTGTCTGTCTCTCTTTCTGTCTGTCTGGTGGTCACCCCATGCATTACAGCCACTCTTCACACATCGTGATCTTTAGTCACATTCTATGATTTTGTGATTGTGGATGGTGAAAAAACGTTCTAAAAACTAAAAATAACTATGGAATAATAATAATGAACTTTTCCTGTTAGTGTTAAATGTTTAGAATGTGGACGTCTTTCAAATTTAAAACAACACTCAGTAGTTTTAAAGCACCAGTCGCAGTGTTGTAGTGACTTATTGGATATTTAATGTTCATCTGCAATATTCTGTAGTGGTCCCATTCAGATTTGTTCTTAAAGTGAACTGAAGCAGTATATCACACAACATGGTGAAGCTGGGAAAAGTCCAACACTCACTCAGTAAGTCAGGGACGATTGAACAATAATACAACCTGTCCAACTCCACCCATTCTCACATATTAAAGCAGCTTGTCGAGCTGAGGGTCCCAAGCTGCATATACTCCCTGTAACTCTAGAGACACTATCTGCCACAGCTGAGAGCAACAATGTTCACCTCTGGGTGGATAGAAAGACTCCACCATGTACAGTTTTAGCATAAGAGCATCCTAACACAGAATGCTG